CACTCCCGCTGTTGTTGATATCTGAATTGCCTGCAATTTCCTGAGAATTTGCTACTAAAATAACTACATGCTTAAACATGATGTTAGAAGGGATACGCCTTAAGGAAATTGTTACTAAAATTTCACGAACAAACTGAAATTGTTAGGTACTAAAATTGCATCGCACAATTCTATTGCGAATAAATTTTCAAATCACATCAATATATTCATGTAACAAGCTTTTATATGTTTTTTTAATGTTCTTTAGTTTGTATTCCAAATTCCAACCCTATTTTTAACACTCTAAAATTTATGTAATTCATTTAAATTTAGAAACACAGAATTCATATCGACCTGACCATACGAACGTGGGTGGTTAAGAACGTTCCCCGTACGAATTCTCACTTTTTCCCATACATTTATTTTAGAAAGAGAGTATAGCGTATACCACAACAGAAATGGTTCAAGTTGGATTTGTGCTACCTATTAGTATTTAAGTTCTAATAAGGTATAAAGGCTTAGATTTAACCATTGTTCTTAAGTTGTAGCTATATTAAAACGGTTAGAAATATCCATTTTATTATTGAGGTTATTATATATTATTGAGGTTGTTGACAACGTTTACTCGTAATGTTTTGTAAGGATTCAATATTGTTAATCAACCGCAGTAAAATGCATCTGGAACGTACCAGAAATTGTAACTGTAGAATGTATTGTTTAATTAATCTTTATTACGTTTAATAAACTATAACACAACCAAGGTTATCATGGCTAGTAAGATGTAAAGCTTGAACTGTCCTATAAACGCGGGGAATAAATCCAAATGACTGAAACGTTTGTCATCTGCGAACAACTCAAGTGAGGTCAAATGTGTTTGGTGCTCTGGTGCTAATTTGAAGGTTACTCCTGCTGCAAATCTGACAGTTGGACAATGTATGTACTTATCACGCGTTACGTTAAATAGAGATATGTTTCTATGTAACGTTAATGTGAAGCGTAATTCACGCAAATGAAGTGGTTACCATATAGAATTTTCCCGAAGATGGCGCTGTTTCTTTGTTAGACATAGTTAAAATCAGGTATGGGAGGGATAGTTAATTATTTCTAATAATTACCAGCAGTAATCAAGAATTTACATGGCCAAGTACATAGAGATAGTACAAACCTACCTGGAATGCTACACCTTAAAGGGTTCTGCTATCCCATACAGACACCATACAAAACAGCAGGGGCAAATGTTAAATTAATGTACTTTAATTTCAAAATTTATAATGTAATTAATGGACTAGAAATGTAATGGATGTACAACATTGTTAAAGTACTTAAATCAGAAGATAATGCAATCAATTTAATTACAGCTCGTCAAGGTTATAGTGTGTCTCTATCTTGTGTAGTAATCCCTCACATAAGTACATAACAACGAAACTTTAATAAAAAAAAAAACTCATGCTCACCATATGCCTTCGAACATTAATATAGAAAAATGACCTGCTACTTCCTTTATGTTGCCATCAAGAGAATGAGAGGGAGAGTTGGTTGATGTCCTTTCTCGAAAAAGACTCATCCCTTCCGTCCAATGTTTGCCTTGCCTTCAGGTGGTCAACATTATCCTCCTCACTCTCCAACTTGGTTCGTTGTATCCAATCGTGTGACCTCAGTAGTCTGAAATCCTACGCAATAGCACCCATATCTACGTCGCTATTCGCGTAAGCAAACCGATCGATCTTCTTCGAAGCAGGAATTTTCTTCCTCCTTCATTTAGATTTAGCGACCGGTTTGTTGTGGATTTTGTTGAGTCGTCACTTTCGTATAGTGCAGCCCAACTTCGTCACGTCGATATAAGCGCGTGATATCAGTGGGGTGTTGAACCGATACCGTACCGTTGGGATGGACCGGAACATGGATAGTCTGGTGACGGACTTCCTCGGACGGAGTTGGTGTCGGTGCACTCGAACTGTGGCGTATTGTGGTACCGGGTACCGTCGCGCGTCACCAATACCAATATAATAGTTTGAAAGAGCTTTGAGTCGGGGGGATTCGGTAAGGCCCTGTTTAGACGATTCAACTCGGCATTCAACTCAATTGAACTGGGAAATGAACGACCAGAGTCGATGTTCAATAATATTGGTATTCTCTTTCAAGTGTATTGGACGTCGACCATTCAGATCGGAGGTGAGTTGAATCAACTCTCTTCACCCGTGTAAACCGGGCATATCAGCCGGGAGTGTTATGGTATTGGAAGTTCGAAACCAGCATGGTAGAAAAAGAGAGCGGTAGCTAGCTAGTGGCAGTGTTGTTAACTTTTCATGGAGTTCGATCCGTAGATAGTGAGATTTAATAACATACATTTAAAATGTTTGTTCTAAGTGACGAGTGGTACATATTTAGAATCCGTAGATTTTCTTCGGTACTTTTCAATAAATCCTAAAAAATCTGGAAAATCCGTAGAATGCTATGCTCGGTCCGTAGATTCGTAGCAAATCCCAAAACCGTAGAACTGATCACAATGGCCACAGGTAGTGAAGAGTATTACAGTTGTGTGCGGTGTTCCTCTTAAAGGTACGGCCGCACTGGCATCCGATATCGGACGAGACGATTTTTGTCGCGGTATGAGAGAGGCAACTAGTACTAGTGTCTCTTTCATACCGCGGCAAAAATATCGTCTAATTCGATATCGGATGCCAGTGCGGCCGTACCTTAAAGGTGTATTCCGCTTAGCAGCCCCTTGGTGTATTCAGATCTGAGCGTGCATGAAATGATAGATACAACTACTATTTTTCTCCCTCTCGTACCTTCGCAAAATCTAGCTCCGCGCGTGAAATATCGCTCACCATAAATAAGGTTTTGCGTTGGCATGAGAGAGATAAAAGACTTATTATCTCTTTCTCATACCAACGCAAATCCCGCTCCGCACCGCTCATATCTGAATTCACCTTTATGTGGATTGATACCTTAAGGTGAATGTATACCGTTCAATTGAATGGATTCAAATGATACCAGATATGGTAGACAGTGTTCAACTGGATTGGTAGCCAATAAGAAAAGTTGGACATCGATCAACTTTCTGGGCGTTTAATTTATAGTTCAAGTGAATTGCACCCTGAATTATCTAAACCGGACTTTAACTAGTAAAGAGATGCAGTGCTGCAGGGTTGCGAAAATGTGTTTATATAGCTGTTCGGATTAATAGCTCAGACCAACATTAAGTTGGGATGTTGGGTCATAACTATTCAACAAAAATCACTTTCTCTATCACTTCGAACTAAAACAGATACTTATTTCGTTTAAAACTTGCAAACTTCTTCAGACTATGACTAGACACTGAAGAAGTTTGCAAGTAGTAAACGAAATACGTACCTGTTCCTGTTATTGTTGAAAGTGAAAGTGATACAAAAGTATAGAATTAAAAGGAAAAATCGACAAAAAAGGTTGTCAATTATTCTACTAAAACGCTGACTCTAATAAAATTAGAATGGTTACCCGGAAAAAAATAACCATACAATTACCATAACGTAAAATACAATTGCATCATAATCTATTGCCAACAATAGATCTTATTGTACGTCTATTGCACTAGATATTTTAACATATTGTTGTTACAATAGATTTACAATACGTCCCATATAAAAAGATTTTTCAACAATTGAACAACAATACAATTAATGGTAAATGGAAAAAGTGATTTTTCCTATGGTTAAGATACATAACAACCCCCTTGTTCTATTGTAGATTTCCCCATTTACCATAGATTATATTGTGAAAACAATACATGCTGTGGTTATTTTATCGTTGTAGACATTATGTTTTATAGTAAATAAAATAGATTCTATTGTTTGGTTACAATACATTTCATTGTGCCCTATGGTTCTTTTTTTTACCGGGTATTTTACTTAGCGACGTGTTCAGAGTATCATTCAAACAATTTGTGGAATAGATTGATAATTTGCGTTATCGTCAGGGCATCAATCAATTTATATGTTTTATTATATTTTTTTTTGGGTAGACATATCTTGAATTTTTTTGTGTTCGGAATACTTCTATTTCGACTATAACTTAACAAAAATGGATCTTTTGGGAACGTATAATTTGTCCCAACTAAATATCAAGATGGTCAATTTGATTGAAAATCGCCTGCATTGTCATTATTTATAAGGCCTTGACTTTCAATTATAGGTAAATGTTAATTAGCTAGTTTAGCTATTAAACTTATATTTTTTTCTGAAATCGAATGATGGCATTATCAAGACCTGTGCTAATTGTATTTCCATTTCATAGTCCCAAGATATCATATAATTTCTTCCATATGTACTTGAGATGACTGCCAATTAAATGATAAATGTTTGTGATATTTTGTGGCTAAGTTGGATTAAGCTATTCTGAGATTGGTTGCATGCCACATATCCGCATTATTTCTGCATTCCCCGTGTCCATATAATGAATCTCGCCAAATCTGGGAGCACTGCAATCTACGTATCACCTCGCACACCGCTCTACTCGCAAAATAGCAACCTACACGTGACGCTCTCACTCACACACACGCACACATTTCAATCGTTTCTCCCCTATACAACGCCAACAGCATCAACGAACGAAGGTAACCAAAGCAAAGTGGAGAGAGCGAGAGAACCCGAAAAAAAATAATTATAATATAACAACGAAATTACAATGATTTTTACTGTTGAATTTCGTGTACATTAAAATTTATTGTTAAATTATTGTACGGGAGAAAAAATAAATTTCGATTTTTAACGATACAATGCTCAAACAATGAAAATTAGTGTGAAGAGATCAAATTTGTTCCAAAAAAATCACTTTTTTTTATTGTTAAGATGCTTAACAACCCCCCTTTTTTACTGTAAATTTCTCAAATACCATGTTTTTCATTGTTATGAACCATGAATTTCGTTGTGATTTTATGGTAATTGACAAAAATGTCCAATATTTTGACAGTAAATATCATTGTTACAATGACAATGAAAACCATTGTATTTTTATTGGATTTTTTTTTACGGGAACTCAACAGACTGCTCATCGTCGTGTTCTTCATTTCGCTACGCTCATGGTGAAGTGTAGTGGTGTTTGTAGGTATGTGTAGTGGATGGAACACCATACTCAGCACGGAAGGTAACCGTACAACACAAGGCGTTTTTGGGGAGGTCAGAATCAGAAGAATCTACACGACGCACGGTCCGGATCGAAGAACAGCAGACACAAGGCTTGCTACTGAATAAGCGAAGCAAGAACACACGTTGGAATATTATTTTCTGCATCGCCCTGCCGGGCTAAACTAGCCTCTGGGAGTGACGTGAAGCGTGTCCCTCGGATCTGTGGTTCTTCTACTACGGAGAAAACGGTGAAGAACCTACGGCAGTTATTGTAGTGAAGTAGAGAAGAAGACATCAGACGGTGTGTGGCAGGCAGTACGCGATGATAAAACTGTGATAATAACGTGAAAGTGGGCGATAAGCACATAAGTTTGAAGGACGATTAATGTGATAAAAGAACCAATATGCACATTGCCTGGTGGATTAGCAGTTTTTCGATGTGAAGATTTTTGCTTTTCGAAGGTGTGTTATCGTTGCATAAATGTGTGATGTACCTACCTATATGTGGTGCTATAGTATGCTGGTATATTGTAGTGGTTTTTCTTTTGCATACTTGAGGCGGCCTGTGTGAGATTGGTGCATGAAAACGCAAAAGGAAAGCTAAGAAAAGTTCATAACCAGCATATCAAATTGGATTAGTGGTGAATTTTGGTGTAGAAAAAAAAGTGCTATGCTGGTCTGTGCAAAACAATGGATTCTAATTTCGTCGTTAACCTCGTAAATGCTTAGGAACGAGTAAGGACAACCAATACGCGACAACACAGGCTCATAGGGGAGAGTCGAAATCTTCTGCTGATTCGGTAGTGGTAGGTTCATCTTGTTTCGGGTTGGGTTTTTAGGGAGACTCACGATGACTAGCCGTAGCTCGATTCTTCTGTTTTTGTATAATGGCTTAATTTGTGCTACGAAATATAAGAAGAAAGGTATGGATTTTGTATAAGCTACCCACAACCGCATTACTGACTTAACGCTACAATACGATTTTATTGACATTGAAATTGGTGGAAATCTCGAGCAACAAATGCATAAGTAAACATTTACACAGTGTTTCTAGGCCAAGAATGACCCCAATGCACTAGGGCTGTGTTCCATTTGGTGAATTTTCTCTTAAATTTGACGGATGGAATATTTTCAAATAAACCTGCTATTCCAGCAGACTTATTTCTGGCAGACAAGAAATCAATTGTGACAAACTTTCTCGAAAATCGGTCGAACAACAACAGAAGGATTTTCTAACATATTAATTTATTTTCGAAGTGTCAAATTCATAAAATGGAACACAGTCTATAAATATCTCACGAATCACAACTCAACCTATGCATTTATTTCATTTGTTTATTTGTAACAAATAATGTAACGTTTTTAATGTTGCGCAGGATTATTTGTTCTCATCGTTTTATGTAGACATTTTACAAACTAAATCAGCCCAGATTCAGGGACATTATTTTGACAATCTGGACGTACAAAATGTGCGAACTTAGATCAATATTTCGATTAGGAAGGTGAAGAAATTTTGAAGATTCTTCGTCATGGAATTCCTCAGGGTCTTAACATTTACAGAAATAATGTTCGAAATGCCTGCTGGGGTGAGAGGTAATCACGCCTACCACTACACCACCGGCGCCGCTTCTACAGTAGTTATGACGAAATATGCATATCTCAGGGCTGTTAGCTAGTCACTTTTTATTGACTTGGTCAATTTTTTCAAGCCAGTCCCTGAAAAGTCTCTTTTTTAAGGCGAAGTCACTAAGGTCACTTTTTCTTGTAATAAGTCACTATTTTAAACTTTTTTAAACGTGAATTTATTTCAAGATTGATCATTCTTCTGGATAGGCCTACATTTTGTTCTATTTTTGAACAATTTGAAGTTGACGACCTGATATAGAGTTTTTGTTTACGTTTAATCGTTTTTCTCTATCTACAAGGTGTCCATTCATTAAGCTTTCAGAAAATTTATGAAAACTGCAGAAATATTTCAGGAACTTCTCAGAAATCCAGAGAATTCCAGGGATGTTTGAAGGTGTTTACGAGAATTCCATTTATTTTAAAGCAGAACCGAGATCTTCATTAGAGCTGAGAGTATTTGGGAAGCTCCGAGAACATCAAGACAGATCAGAGAATTAAAGGGAAGTTCAAAAAATTTCAAGAGAATTGCAGAAACAGAAATTTCCGGAAACTTCGGTTTGCCCAGAGAAAATTTCTGGAACGCAATAAAAATTGTAGGAACACCCGGAAATGTGAGAGTATTACAAGGGTGTTATATCATGGAAATTTTAAGATCTGAAAAAATCGAAAATTTAGCTAAGTCGATTAGAGAACATCAACGAAGCTCCATTAATTAAAAAAAAGCGAGAACTTTTAGCAAGCCCCGACACCGATATTTTCAAGAAATTCCAGAGAACTTCTAAGAAATTTGGATATTTTTAGATTGTTTCATTATATTCAGTGTAGTTTCGAGTACTTCGAGGACGATCAGATAACATCAGAAAATCACATTAACTTAAGGAAATTTGCAGCGACTTACAAGGAGTTCCTTAGAATTATGGAATATTCAGAAGCTTTAGGGAATTATAAATATATATCAGAAAATTAACAGGAAAATTTGATCGATTTAAAGAAATTAAGGTAAGCATAGAAAACTTCTTCCAGTTAACATTAGTGATTTACGGCAAAGTTCCGTGAGCGTTTATAAACTTTATAAAACTTAAAGAAAATTGTAGAACTTAAAGGAAATTAAATCAATTCCAGTAAAATTGTGGGTTATTTAAAAAAAAAATACTAAAGCATGGCTGTCTAGATAATTTTAAGGAAATTGAGAAATATTTTGGGCAGTTTTAAAAACATGAGGACACTCTAGACTATTGAAGAAGTTATGAATTAGTTTCGATAATTTGAATTTCAGGTAAATCTCGATAACTTTTTCACAGGGACGTATCATCTTTTGTAAACAATGCATTTGATCGTCGATTTGGCTTAACTGGTAGCTCGCCCACGCATGTTAATGCTACCATCAGATAGGGAAAATTTCCCCTACCTGCTAGTGGTGTTAGTACGCCAAATCGGCGATCAAATGCATTGTTTACAAAAGCTGATACGTCTCTTTGAAAAAGTAATCGAGAAATATTGAAAGTATTAAGTATTTCGCTGCGAAAGCCTAAAGAAGTTCCTGAAATTTCAGAATATCTTCGAAAACTTCACAGAAGTACAGAGATCTTCAGAAACATTTCGAGAACTTCATAAAAGTTTAGGGGAGATCCGAGAACTTCAGGAACTTTTATGGACATTTCGGGAGCATCTCAAATAAGTTTAGTAAAGCTCCAAAAACAAAGGGAATTTCAGGGGAGTTCAGTTGAATTAGTTTCACTAAATTAGCGGGAAATTTCAAGAAGTTCCCAGATTTTCAGAGAACTTTAGGTTTTCACGTTAGTCCAGAAGTTCACGCAAGTTTAAACATTTTTCGAAAAGTTCAATTAAATTCATGGTAGTACACCAAGCTTCATAAGAACTGCAAACACTTTAGAGAAGTTTCTAGAACTTCGAGAAAGATATTGATCTTTCTAATAAAGCTTTAAACAAAAAAAAACTTCAAGAAAGAACAGATATCTTCAGAGCAGAGATATTCCAGGGCAGGGAAATAAGATAAATTAAAAAAAATGTTTCGAGAAATTCAGTGAATTGTTAACACTTAAGAGAAGATTCATGATCGTTAGGAAAATTGTGGAAACTTTAGAAAGTCCGAGAAAGTTTAGAGAAGTTAAAAAAAATTGAGAAGTTTTGCGAGCATCAGGTTAGTTCCTCAAACTACAGAAAAACTTCAAGGCAGTTTATTAACTTCAGGAATATTTTGGGAGCTTTCAAGTTGTTATGAAGACCTCAGAATAGTCCATTCCATATTCAACGGAGATTTCTTATGAAAATTCGTTTGTATTTGTTACTGAAGATTAATCTATTCTGGATCAATAAAGTACATACATCGATGAATGAAAATAACTAGGAATATCAAATGTTTTTATTTTAAAATGCATTCTTAGTAAGAAAATTATTAAATTTCCTGAGAAATGATAAGATTACCTGGAAGATTTTCAGGAATACTAAAATTCCCTGCGAATTCCTGATTTTTCATGTTTTTCCAGGTAGTAGAAGCTTGGAGGGTTAATCATAAACTTTCTATTGAATCTTTCGCTTTAATGGTTCCTATCGTACATATTTAAGTGCTTATGAGAATTTAATTGAATAAGCCTAAAACATCAAACATTTATTTGGTATACCATCAGAACGACTAATTTTCTTCCCTTAGGTCATTTTTAGTCACTTATAGCTATAAGTCACTATTTGGTCACTTATTTCTTCAACATGGTCAATAAAATTACTATTTTTGACAGCATTGTTCGCTACCAGCCCTGATATCTGTCAAAAAATATACAACCAGGGTGACCTGAAAAATTCAAGGAATTTTAAAACACTGGGAAAAGCCTTGAATTTCGATGACAAATAAAGGTTCAGACTTTGGACTTTTTCAAGGATATTGCTCTGTTCTAGACCTTCAGAAGTCTTTAAAGAAACTTTCAAATGCAATTTGACGAGAATTTCTAAGTAGGAATGACACCAAGATATTTCAGAGGCACACTGTGCCAAAACACATCACGGCACACTTTGACAAGTAGGGGAAATGGCTCTTATGTTGGCCTATGGATCTAAGATTGGGCCCATCGCTAAAAATCTGCTATTTATCAATTTTATCTAGATGAACGTGTCATTGGGACGATACTAATCGATATTTTTGGTCGCTAATTTTGACTTTCATCGTCGATATCTCACACCAAGGGGTAAGACAGCTTCCTAATCATGAGCAATTTTAGAGTTGCTTTTGAGGCACCTCGAGTAACTCACATTGCTCAGTGAGCAAGATCACTGTCATTTGCATTCTCACTTTTCACATCACAGCAACATATGAAGATGCGAAGCCGAAAAGCTGCTGTCAAGCAAAACAACAACAAACAACCGGCTTGATGTGGTAGCAGAACTCGATCCGCCTGACCAAATACTCGTCGAAGCGATCCCGTTCCCATCTCTCGATAACCCGCCGCTAGATGAAACTGCGATCGTGAAATGGTTCATACACCACCGAGATTCTGCTGCGGCCGTCGAAGGACGTCTCCGTTGAAATTGCACCTAACTTCTTTAAAGAAAATATTTCATCCAGAAGGAAAAAAGTTTTTTAAACTAGTATTCATTATATTCAGAGCATGTCTCGTTCTTGGGTTTCTCGTCAGCAAAGTCTATAGCGATGATCCTGTACTTGGTTGGATCAAATTTACTCTTGAGAATCTTCAGATCCCTTTCCTTCCACTCTTTCTGAAGCATCTGCAGTGCTTCCTCATCGGTTTTCACTTCGATTTCGTCGGGTAGATCGATGATGTGTTTGAAGTCCGGATGAGGATCGTACTCACCGGAAATATTGGGAGCTGTGTCTTCATCGTCCTCCTCTTCTTCGATTTCAGCAGTATCGACTGTGTTGATGGTCTGGCTGAACATTCTGGGGTAGTTAGTGGGAATCGGATGTTAATCGGTTTTTATCCAACAGGGAATATATTTCCTATGTATGCCAGTGATTTCCCTCAACGATTTCACGTTTTCCTCGGTGGACATCTGAAAACGATTCCTGTGGTTATTTTACGAGAACAAATCGCATATGTCCACCTACCTGCAGTTAATTCACATTCAACGTTTTGAAACGGAGGAATACAAACAAAAAGCACTTCCAAAACAATAACAGCAGCCAATCGCCAGATGAAAATCCACGCCG